TAGTTAGTTAGTTAAAACAACTGGAAATCATTATAAAAAGCAAAAATAAAGAATTCATGAATATGATTAAAGAGGAGGAAGAAATAGATATTACACTCTATTAATTTACTGCTTGCTAGATTTTATTGCATTGTAATAGATGGGATTATATAGTCTCAACTATATTGAAAGTGTTTCAAATCTCGTGTTTTATATCTTGGCATCATGCAGTAAAATATAATTATATTTAAAGAATCATCATCCAGATGCATTAATGTAAAGAGACATGAATCACTGTACCTAAAAATTACAAGGCCGGATTCTAATAGTATCTCAGAATTTGTGTCTCATCCAGTTTAATCATCAATGCAATGAAACATAATGTCACAGCCTACGTCATGCAGCCATAGCCTTGTATTTTCATTTAAGTCTTTGTATACACATGTAATAAAAGATCTGGTCACATTGATTTGTACATTACAACTGACTCATCTGTGATAGAATTAAATTCTCTCCCTTCTAACCTCTTGTAGGAGGTAGTTAGCAATCCTAATCAATATATGATGTAAATACACGTCTCAGTCAGCACTTCAAATTTGTTTTCCTTGTTTTGAATAAAACAAAATAAATCAAAAATGGTCTACTTCTTTTGCCACTGTAGTAAAAAGTATTAAACCTCTGGCAAGTTTTACAGCAGAGACTGTTTCTGAGAGACCTTTAAGGGACATGCATCGATTCACACTAATTTTTTAAAACAGCAAGAAAACACTTCAAAACAAATATAAAAACCAAAATAAATCAAGAAAAACTTTGAAAATGATGTAATAAACCTTTAAAAACTTACTATAAACTTGGTCAGATTGCAGTGTTGGGCACCCTTCTCCCTCACCCAGCTAAAGCTGTTGAATAAGACAGTTGCTTCAAAGTGATGCATGTCCCTTTAATGCAATAAAGCTTACATATAAGGTTTTATTATGCAGGCTCTTCCTTCGGTTACTGACTCACTTCAAGACCTTGATTCTTTTGTATAGAGTCCTCTATAACTATACACAGTGGTTATTTTGGTGTGATTTTAACTATATGCCTTAGGTATAGCTAGGAGGATGAGTAATTAATTAGAGTGTTTTGTTGGCAATATATAAAAAAAACATAGAATCAGTGGTGTATCCTGGTTTTGTGCTGCCCTAGGCAGGACAAAACTCAGGCGCCCCCCTCCCCCCCGCGCCACCCCCACCCAACCCTTCCCCCCACCCCACCTTCTAAATACACACACACACAGTCAGACACATACACAAACACACACACACACACACACACAGTCAGACACATACACAAACACACACAGTCAGACACATACACAAACACACACACACACAGTCAGACACATACACAGACACAGTCAGACACAAACACACACACACACAGTCAGACACACACACACACACATACACAGTCAGATACAAACACACACACACACAGTCAGACACACACAGTCAGACACAAACACACACACAAACACACACAGACACACACAGTCACATACACACACACAGTCAGACACAAACACACACACACACAGTCAGACACATACACAGACACAAACACAGTCAGACACAAACACACACACACACAGTCAGACACATACACAGACACAAACACAGACACAAACACACACTCACAAACACACACAGTCAGACACAAACACACACACACATTAACTTTTTTTTTAATTTAAATCCCCCCCCAACCTCCTTACCTTTGGGAGTGCTGGGGGGGGGGTCTCTCTCCCTGGTGGTCCAGTGGCTGCAGGGCGGGCGGCGCTGGCAGGCGGGCGGGCGGGCGGCCGGCGAGGGAGCACTTCCCATGAGCTGACTGCTCAGCTCCCTCGTGCGTCGGCTGCAGAGTGAGGCTGGGAACCGGAAGATGACGTCATCTTCCGGCTCCCAGCCTCACTTTGCGGTGCGCGAGGGAGCTGAGCAGTCAGCTCATGAGAAGTGCTCCCTCGCCGGCCGCCCGGGATGTCAGTTAGCCGCAAGGCTAACAAGGCATCTGCCCTGGGCATTTGGGGGGCGGCGTTTTTTGCCGCCCCCTGAAAAATGCCGCCCAAGGCAAATGCCTTGTTTGCCTCGCGGCTAATACGTCCCTGCATAGAATGAATGAATGAGTGGGTGTCAGTCCTTGGTTAAAAATCCATGTAGTCCAGTGGTCCTTGGAGTTTCCTTATCCTGAAGCTGCTTATATTATTGTTATCTTATTCTATCTTATTCTTCTTATAAACCAGGATCTCATGTATGAATAACACCCTTCTGTATCTTGCTAAGCAAAGACTGTTTCAATGAAGGCTTTGTCAATACAAATACAAATATAGACAAAGACCACCATCACTGCCAGTTGAAGCTAATGTAAGGAAATAATAAAATTGGAAGAAAACCTCCATATAACTTTACTCCAGGTAAGCTGGTTCTAGTATAAGCTTTTGATTTATAGTATCACAAAATCCTTGGACACCTACCTGTTCACAGGCCCATCTCTTTCCAATTATTAACCATCACTGACCACATTGCATTTTGAAATATTGTTGGCATCCTGTCTCATTGTTATAAGAGGATCCTGTAGATAATGGATGGGGATGGGTTTTGTCCTGTGCTAGATGTGTAAAGAGGAGGTTGGTAATGTGTTTGTTTTTCTTTCTTCTTTAATTCTTTATCTACCATATATTAGTTTGCACAACATTAGTAGTCATTTAAACAGTATCATACTTTGAGTGCCTGTTGTTTACTTTTCGCATAGTTTAGAATAGGGGTAGGCAACCTTTTAGCAACACTGTGACGAAACAGGATTGTGATGTCCCATAGCGTGCTAGTCTTATTTTTTTAAATTGAGGTGTGTATGTTGCCGTATTCTGCTTGTGTTATTTATACTGCAGTTGCTTTGTAGAGTTGTATTTGTGCTTATATGAGCTATTATATTGTATATGTTCACAAGTAGTTTGTGGTGTTGTGTATGATACCTATGAATGTGGGCTATATATGGGGGCTGCTTGTGGAATTGTGTGTGGATGGATATGTCACATTGTGTGTTTGGTTGTGTGTATGTGTGGGGCTGTTTAGGGTATTGCATGTGAGAGGCTGCATGTGGGGTTGTGTGCATGTATGTGGTTTGTTAGTGGGTTACGTTTGTGCAGATTGTGTGTATGTTTGTTTGTGGGCTGTTCATATTATTTGTATGAAGGGATGGTTATTCTGCATTTCTGTGTATATCTTGCAGTGTGGGTGGCTTCCCTGGCTTCCAGTGGGGACCAGGCTAGCCATTTACAGCTCAAGGACAGGAGCTGCAATAGCAGCTGCGGGTTGCTCTACTCCAGTCTGGATTTTCATTCACAAGTGCTGGGATAAAGTTATCTGAGATCACTACCTTTACGTGCTGCAAAGCATAAATTGAGGATTCACCACCTTTTCGTTTAACTGATAGGCCAGAGAGGCCTGTTTGGCTCTAGCAACCTGAATGCCATGCAAAGACACTTTGAGTGCCGTGCATGACACATGTGCCATAGGTTGCCTACCTCTGGTTTAGATCATCAAGTGCTTCTTCTTACTGTATGGATTAAGAGTGTGTAATCTTTTTTTACACTTGATGAAAGGGCTTATTTGTTTCAAACTAACCTCAATTGTCCAATTTGCCTTGCAAAGACTTCTCAACTATCTGTAATAAAGCTTATCGAGAAGTTGGTGATTGCACGGTCTGTGTTAGGAAAGAAGGGGAGGGCTTACAGTAGCTTGCCGATACTAGAGCTGCAGCTATTGCAAGCCAATATTTCATATACCCCCAAAGAAAGCATGCGACACAGATAGGATGCAATTTTTCTTTGATGGTACATGTAATACATTGGGTCTTTCAATTTATTTATATTAATGTCATGTTATGTTAAAGTCATATATGTCTTTATCACCTATTGCACAATAATGTCTTGATTGCACGTTGGCAGAATTTCACTTTGCTTTGGCCTGTGCAACACCAAAACAAATCATCTGACGTTAATATTTCCGTTGACAAGGTATAAATGAAAATTGGCCCGATTACTTATATTACATAACTTTTTTGGCTGACATTATTGGCTAACTAGTTACATTAATATTGCAAGCTTTTAAGACTGCTTAGATGTCTTTTTGGGTATAATATATCTTTAGGAAAAATATACAGGGATGCCCCGTTTAGCGCTACCCCGCATAGCGCTGATTCGCTATAGCGCTGTTCCCGTACTGGTACTCGCAGAGCGCTAATCCCTGCTATAGCGCTGTTTTTTTTCCATGTGCGACCCGCTTAACGCTTAAAGAGCGTGACTGCGTCGTTACAGCATTAACAGGGGCACCATGGGAGAACGAACCAGTGAGAGCCAGAAAGAGAAAGAGAGACAGCAAAATCCAACCTGGAAAATCCATTGGCAAGGTACAGAATACTTTCTTTGTTCCCTTGTTTGTAATAATGTGATTATTATTAGCTGTCTAATACAATTTTTCTCCCTAGTGATTGTTATCAGGGACCCCCAAATCCTGCAGAGAACATCCGCTGGCAAGGTACAGTACAGAATACTGTATTGTCATTGTTCCATTGTGTTGCATAATGAAAATCTACATTCAATGTACTGTATTTTTATACTGTTTTACAGATGTCTGAGTGCAAAGAGGAGCAGGCTAAGGGCAAGCGCCAGAGTATTCCTCTGGATGTCAAGACCCAAGTATTGGACCGCCTGGATAAAGGAGAGCGCCAGGTGGATATCGTTGCAGATCTCCATTTGCCTACCTCCACTATCCGCACTATCCTCAAAAACAAGGATAAGATCCGCACCTCAGCGATGACCAGCACTGCTTCTTCAGCCAAGAAGATCACCCGCTCCAGGTCCTACGCTCTTGAGGAGATGGAGAAGAGTGCCGAGCCACCCGACTAACTTGGCTGAGCTGCCCACCTGCATTCCTGTTGAGGTCCTGTTCCCACCATCCAACACAACGTCGCTTATCCAGCCTATGGACCAGGGGGTGATTGCCACCTTCAAGGCCTACTATCTCCGCCGCACATTCCATCAGCTGATTGAACACATGGACCGCGAGGACAAGCAGTCAGTGTTGGACTTCTGGAAGCAGTTCCACATCATGAAGGCTGTCTCCAACATTGATCTTTCCTGGAAGGAGCTGACACAGCAGTGCCTCAAGGCTGTGTGGAAAAAGATCTGGCCAGAGCTGTGTGAGGATGTGCAACTACCAGAGCCCATCATAGCGGAGATAGTTGACCATGTTACCACGGCTGGACTAGGAGACACAGATGCTCAGGACATTGAGCAGTTAGTCCAGGCTTAAGGTGAGAGCCTCAACAATGAGGACCTTGAAGAACTGGCTGAACAGGGCACACAGAAACCTCAGGACACCAGCGACTCGGACACTGAGCCTCCAAAAGAGCATTCCTCTAAGCTCCTAAACAGGGCATTGCATTAGGTCAATGGCATAATGGATGAGCTGGTGGCAATGATCCTGATGCAACTAGGAGCAGGAATGCAAGGCGCATTGTGCTGGGAGGGGTGTCTTGCTACCGCCATCTGCTGGATAGCCGCAAGAAGCATAGACAAATGACCTTTGACCAATTTGTGGCCAAAAAAACAAGGCAGGAGGAGGACCCTGGAGCCTCCACATCCACCATTTAAACCTTTTTTTTTTTACTGTTACTTTAATTTGGTACAGTTTCTTTAATTTATTGGGTGCAAAACCCTTAGTTTATTTAATTTTTTATTTATGCTGCGATGTGCAGTCACAGCAAGTAAAAAAAGTTTTACAAGTTTTAAAATTCTATTGGTGTTGTGTCCTTTTTTTTCAAAGTTGATTCCCTGTGCCTATCTTCCCCATGTTAAACTGCCCCGTTCAGAGCTGTTTTGCTTAGCACTCATAGCAGTTGGAACCTATCTACAGCGTTAAGCGAGGTATTCCTGTATCTGTATGCCTGAGGAAGGGATCTCAGTGGTTTTAAAAGCATATAATAGCAATAGAACTAGTTAGCCAGTAAATGTATCACCCTTTCTTCAATAACACACCACCACTATTAACTGCACCTTGAAACGATGTGACCAATCTCATATGGAAATGGTATCTATTGGTTTCTTCACCAATGGCACCATCATGTTATATTAGAATAGGAACAATGTGTAAACTATTGCCCATTCTCACTGTTGGTTTTATCCCCTAAAATCCAAATACAGCTGCAGATTTTTCCTGGACTTGATATTTTTTTTATTTACTTGGCAAAAAAAAACAGGGAAAAAGCTCAATTCGTCATACAAGCACAACTCAATAGTTATATTCCTTAGCCTGGTTTCAAATCGTCAATTCACAGGTACAAATCCTACGCAATGTTGAATATTTACCAAACACTGGATTTACTCTGATCTATTCTACTAATAAAGTAGGCACATAGATGATCATATAATAGAGGAACAGATGAATAGATAATAAATACGAGGGCAAGTGGAAAAATCCAAGCCCTTTGCTCCGTGTGCGTGGAAGGGTGTCAGACGATGCCTACGACTGGTGCAAATTATCATGTATAGTAGTAGTATTAGTCTGAGAATGTCCTAAGTGGCAATTAATTTATTGGAAATCTATTGAGCTTTTATCAGATCTTGTTATGCATCCTAAATCTCTGTTATTGGCTTAGTTTGAGATGTAGGCTGCACAAAATAATATTAACTTATAACCTGTACAAATTTCTTGTTTTCAATTAAATAAAGAATTTTAACAATGATTGACTTCTCTATTCTTCTATAACCTATACTACATTATTCTGTGCATGCTATTCTTCGCAAAGGCACTATAACTAAATTAGTTTTATATGTTGTTTCCTATCAATCTAAATATTAATCTTTCATTACTAGCTCAAACTCATGGTTCTGCTGTGTTGGATAATATCATTTGCAGTATCTGTATTGTATCTGTTGGTTCAGCTCAGTGGTTCTTGCAAAATAAAATATATTAAAGTGAAACATTGCAAGATGTGATGATTATTACTATTAACATTTATTTATGAGATGTCTCTTTTTTACTGGAACAAGTCTACACTGGCTAATTATTTGGAGACCACATATATAGAAATTCAGATACCATCTGAATCATTAGTTTAATAAAGTTTCAATGCACCCAAGACATTTGTTTAATCTTGTGAATATGCAGGCAAATGTGTTTTTTAGCTACAAGAAAGGAATAATTGCTTTGTAACGCTGTGAAATATTCATATAAATGTACATGCTGTAAGAAATCGCAAGTGAAAATTAACCTATCATCAAAAAAATCTTATACAGGTTCGACATTAGGTAGGCATTGATGCAATTGTATACATTGTACTGCCAAATTCACCAGCAAGTTGAACTTCAAATTTTAGGTCAGAGTAGCTAAGCTGAAAGCATAGCTGGTTAAAAGATTTTTTCTAATTCGGTTATATTGGCCTTCAATTTGAAATTTACCTTGAATTCTACCTTTAGTGAATTACTCTGTGAGTGTAAAATTTATACCTATCTGGGAATTGTTTTCCTCTTCCTGTAGAATGCTTGGGATTTTAAAACAGCTGCTAAATCACTTGGGAGAGTTGTAACTGCGTGTGCGGCGACACTTGACCAACATAGTTATTGCTTGTATCACTTAACTGATGGCACAGTGTTATGGACAATGATAAATGTAAAGTGGAATAAAGTTTTACCTGAACATTTGCTAGAAGCTTGGCTGAAACCATGGAGGTTTAGCAAACTATTCTGAAAAGTTTTTATTTTTTTCATTTCAGCTTTATTTATTTTTTATTTTCGCTCTGTAAGCTGTTTGGATTTATTTAATTGTTTAAAAATGATTTAAATGTGTTAGCTTTTATTTCATAAAATTCTGTAGTATTTCACAGAATTAATCATTTCAGAAAAGACCGTTAAAGGGGCGTTAAAAACAGAAGTGAAACAGAACATTATAAAAATTGACAAATCTGTTGCATTGCCAGAAAATGGCATTCGAAAATAATGTTCATAGCACAAAGCAACAGATAAAAAAAATCAGGTAGATTTAATAAGTTACACTAAACAAAAACAAAAAAAAAATTAAAAAAAGTGTAGAAATATCTGTGACCCTTCAATAAATCTCATTGTATATTGTGGTACCTATAATTGGAGGTGTGAACTTATATTGGCAAATTGGTCAAAGTATGATTCCATGTAACTGTAGGGGGTCTTGCTGTTGGTGTACAGCTGTCGTGTCTTACTTCTATTTTTCACATGTCATTGGGACCCATGGTATTAAGCTCCCATTTACTGCATTAGTGCCTTGCTCTGACAGGCCTCGCCAGTGCATCAATAGACAATATGTGTATTGTTGCAATATAACATCATTCTATTGCACACGTTGGACTATCACAGCTCAGGCCTGGCAGAGGAAATAAGATAATCATAAGATGAAGAAAGACAAACAAGAGTGTGGAGAAGTTGGGGCACATAAAGGAAGAATAAAAAGGAGAAGCACAAGCAGAACTGACACAAGACATCATTAATATTATTTAAAAGAGCATCAGCATTTTCTGCAGTGCTGTACAATGGGTTCACAATGGGTTGGCTTCTGGTATCAAGTACTCTTTTTACAATTCTTGTTTAGTTTTTCTTGGTTTTTCTGGTTTTCTTTATGCTGGGTTTTCTGGGTTCATTCCTTTATTCCGTTCCTGGAATTCCCAGTCTCATGGATTCCTTTAAAGGTTTGTTTTTTGTTGCCACACTCATTCCTTTGTCATTAAAGGGACACTATAGTCACCAGAACAACTACAGCTTATTGAATGTGTTCTGGTGAGTAGAATCATTACCTTCAGGCGTTTTGCTGTAAACCCTGACTTTTCAGAGAAAATGCAGTGTTTACATTACAGCCTAGTGATAACTTCACTGACCACTCCTTAGATGGCTGTTTGAGATCCTTCCTGGGTCATGGCTGCCTAAAATGCATCCAAACATTCAGTGTCTCCTCCCTCTGCATGCAGACACTGAACTTTCCTCATAGAGATTAATTGATTCAATTAATTTCTATGAGGAGATGCTGATTGGCCAGGGCTGTGTTTGAATCATGCTGGCTCTGCCCCTGATCTGCCTCCTTGTCAGTCTCAGCCAATCCTATGGAGAAGCACTGTGATTGAATAAGGCTACCACTTCTGATGAAGTCAGCAGACTGCTTGTTTTTCTAATGCAGACAGGGCAGAGCCAGCAGCTTCAGGCTTGAATACAGTAAGATTTTGACTATATTTATGGAGGCATGAGGGGCCCAGGGGGGCTAGATGGTGGTTTTAACAGTATAGGGTCATATAATCCTTTTTGCTTCGGTCTGTTTCTGCAGGCAGTGGTTTCATTTCTTCTTCTCCTTTCTTTGCAGGTAAGTACTATGTGTGTTTTATTGTTGTTTATTTAGTCATGCATATTTAGGCAGTTAGGACCCACCGTACTTGGAGTACTTTGGCGCAGAGGTGGGCTGCATACATCTTGGCGATTTATGTATGTCTAAATCTCCAATGTTCATTACATATATAGTACTTAGTTATGTCTTCTCTTGATTTACCTTGTATCTCTTGTCTTGTTTTATTTTGTCTTGTATTCCCAGTTCATGTACAGTCCTGTCCTGTCCTGCCCATGTTCTGTTAATGTTTCCTTTATGTATTGTATACATGTTCTGGGTTCTGCTTTCTGTCCTGCTCCGGTTCTGGGTTCTTCTAGTCTTATCTTGTTTGGTGCCTGTTCTAGTCTTACCTTGTTTCTAGTACTGGATACATTTCTGCATAACATTCAGCTCCTGGCTTCTCCTAAGCTGCATCAGGGTTCTGATATATGGCCGTACAAATGCTGGTGCCCAACACCAAGGGGTGTGTGGTTACCCTGCACCAGACCCTGATTGTCCACTTCCACGCTGAGACTCCTGTCATCTACATCATGCACTCAGGTCTTCTGGCCGCCACCCGTGACAGTGATAGTGTGGGCCCTGATCAAATGTACTTACATTCTAAAGAGGATATGGCACAGCTACACATGCGAATAACACAAATACAACACATACCTTGACCCACAAACATGGTTACATAAAAATACCATGCAGTATTCACAGCCACTTAAAAATATTATCCAACATTCACACATCCTCACAAACACACACTTGACATGCAAAATAAAATAAATCTGACATTTACGCACAACTACAAAAAACAAAAACATAATCTTTATAATGGCACCATGGCACTCACACTGGTACTACATTGACATACACATGCGGACACAATACATGCAAATGTATGTGTGCATTCACGCATAATTACA